ATATATATATCTCAATACTATGTAGTAGTAATGGGTTTCTCCACTTACCACTAATAAAAGGGGACTTTACAATTTTCACTGTATGCTTTTCTTTTCTTGTCATTATTATTATATTTTTCATTTTAATGTTATAATAACAGAGAGCATGGGGGAGTAAGAAATGATCTGCCTAATGTGTCAAATGCAGAAAATACACAAAATAATTTATTTATTTACCTATAATTATATCCATTTATTACTGATTGTTCTAATGTACCAAAAGCTGTGCATATAATAATTTTAAGCAGGTTGCCCTGAAAAACTGAAAATTATTTTAAGTGCTCCTCTAGGGGGGTAACGTGGATAAAGACTGATCTAGGGGTCTATTTACACCAGCAAGCTGAACTGAACACATGGCCACAAGTATTCTCTGGCAGAAACAGTGTTGATGCGCCTATCTTGGCCCATCACGCTGTTTATTTTTTTGTTAGAGCTTTATTGAAATTTCACATGTAACATTTCATTCAGTTATAACAGCACAGTCAAAAGCGGTTATACTGTTTCGCTTCATGCTGCACTGAAAAAAGTACTGCATGAAGTACTTTTTTTCAGCGCAAACCACCGCAGCTTAGCGGTGTGCACCAGGATGATTGCAAACAAGGCAATTTGCCTTGTCTTTACATTAGAACCATGCTATAAAAGGTGTCAGTACAGACCCAACACATCTGGGTCTGTAAGTCACAGAATCACCAGGTGAAAGTAAAATGCAAAAAAGCCTAAAAAAAAAAATGACTGCCGCCACCCCCTTTAAAGACTAGTAAGGAGGAATATATTCCATTTTTGTTCTTAGCTATAAGACTGTCACTGTATATTACAACATTTCAGGAATGTATTCATACATACTTGTTAATGAAACTGACAGATTCACTATAATGACATACATCAAACACAATACAGCATTTTCAAAAGCTGTCTTTGTTTTCCTTTTTCCTTCTTTTTTTTTAAAGTATCTCTTTAAATGTATTATATCACTCACAAATATTTCAATGAAATAGTTCTAGGCATCGAGAAGGAATTTTTTCCTGTTAAAGAATGTTGAACTATTTTAGATTAGACTGCTTTTATAAGGTTGACCCTGATGGGCATTTGTCTTTTCTTTTTTAAAGAGCATCCATTTAACAATGAGTCGACTTGCGTTTCAAAGTTTAGCACCTCTTTAAGTTATATTTAGAAGAACACACAAATCACCGGGTATCTTGCTGAATTGATTATTTTTACTTTCTACAAAATACTGTAAGACTTTAACAAATTAACAGTTTTGCTCTTCTCTACAGCGTCCTTTACAAGGCACTATCCCTCCTGGATTCTGAATGCAACTCTTTACTTTGCCCGTGACCTCTGTTATTGCTTTTCAGCAGAATGTCATGAGCAATTATCTAGTAGAAGAGGTGTCAACTACAGGGACTATTGCATAATTACAGCGGTGGTATCCGGCCTTACAAAAACCAGTGTACGTATAATTATCCATCAGTAGAACCCAGAAATAACATTTGCACTAACATGGTACTTATAATGCATGGAATTTCCATGTATGGTTGCAAAAAGATGCTGAGTGGGTATTTTTAGACACTGTTATTGCAGAAGATTTATATACTTTTTTTTTTCAGTTCATTAAATGCGTAGAAAAAGTAGTGTACAAATGCTCTTGAGGGTTATGTGGCAAACCAGTTATTCATTTTGCAGCTGCTGGAAGGGAGAAACTCGCATTATGTAATGTGGAAAATTAAATTAGGTAACCAATTTAAAAATGGGGTTTAAAGACAAAATACTACATGTTTAAATTGGCTGATCATGCGAAAACAAAATAATTAAAGCGCAACTCCAACTGTTGGATAAAAACATGCCTAAGATGATAGCTGCCTTATAAATAAACTGATTTATTTCTGCTGTTTTAAAACTGGACAACCAATGGTAGATATTGATCTATCACATTTACCAACAGTTAACCA